TTTGGAGGTTTAAAAAAAAAAAAGACCGGGTCTTATTTTTGGGGAAACATGGTATGTGTTGATGAGAGAACTGATTACTTTTCATAAAAGCCATAACCATGTTTCACCAGACTTTACAGAAGAAAGCTGAAGATACTTCAAGATCTATTCCCAAGAAAGTCCAGTTGCCTCTTGAAAAAGCACCTTTGGGACAACCATGTCCTGGATGACTGAGAATCTCCATAGACACTTCCAGATCTATTGAATTCAATTTCTGGATTCTGAGCAACAGTACTGAAAGTGAAGGGCATATGCTGAAAAGCATATCATCTATATCTATCATCTCCCTCCCTCCCTAAATCTGAATCAAAAGTACTGATTTGTAGAAGGAATGGCAGGATCTGAGGGCGGAGGCAAAAGAGGGATCAGTCTAGAATCCCTATGTAGTCACAAGTGAACTAAGTCCAACTTCCCTTAAATTCCATTGACTTTTATCTAACTCCAAGCAGGTGAATTGAAAAGATTCCTCTGTATGGCAATACATCAGCTTAATTGGAGCTTCATGTGTGGACCTGATCTTTTGTTCCTGACATGTTCTGCTAGTTAAATTATCAACATTTATCCAGATCTTAAGGAGAATTTGAGAATGCCAAATGAGAAAAGGCTTTTTGAGAAAACCAGGAAGGCTGAAAGGTCCATAAAACATAGGACATCTTGGCTTATTTCCCCCACACCTGGAGGACTCACAGTAAAGGCTCCAGTTTCCAGGTCCATCATGTGAATGACACAGTCACCTCCAGCCATCAGTAGAGTATTATCCTAGAGAAAGTTGGGGAGAAAGAAAGTGGCATGATGAAACCTCTTGAGCTGTATTGGTCCATCCCAAGACAGTCCAATGGCCATACCTTCAGGTTCAACTGCAGGCTGTTGATTTCTGGCACTTCAAGTCTACTTCTAAAAAGGAAACGAAAGGCAAACCTTCAATCTCAACATGTCCATGGGCAGGAAAAAAATAATAGGAAAAAAAGGAAACAGCGAAACTAGGCTTTACCCATAAGGTGGCCTCCTACTCCAAGCTTCTTTGCAACTCTAAAATGAAAGGCGAGGAAAGGCATCTTAAAAACAGCAGAAGTCAGAAAATGTACAGCCAGGCTAGGAGGGAAGGGGGAGGGAAGTAACCCACTCGTACTTTCTTCACAATCTCGCTCCAGTTCCAGGCCTTGACCTCTCCATTGCCAGCACTTAACAGTTGCCGATCGGTGGACACCATAGCATAGATAGCTCCACTGTGGGCTATGGAAAGAAGAGAGATCTTTCATGAGGGATGTGGCCTCAAGATGGGTCATGCCTTCTGGGGAATCCACTGCTGAACCAAAGAAACTCAACCACATTGATGCCAAATGAAGAATTCCTCCTGGGTTAGAGACAGACAGCCCAACCATGCTGTCTGCTGACTACACACAGCCCTAATTTGGGCATGGAAGAATAACCCAGTTTACTATTGTTGTGGCTCCTTGCCTGAGCCTGGGCTATCGACAGATGCAGACTCTGAGAGTGAGGGAGAGGAGTTGGCAAGGCCTCCCTCTCCAGGACCCTCCTCTCTGGCAATGCCTCCGGAGGACATCGAAGGCCAAGAGATAGGCTCAGAGCCAAGCACATCCCCGCAGCCACAGGTGGACAGCGACGAAGGAGATAAGTGCTGGCTGGATCCTCGACAACGGCGCAGGGAGAAGCGTGCGCAGAAGGGAAGGCATGCCAGAGATTAGCTGAGTCACTGGACCACACCCCACAGGATATAAATGTGGGTGTGGTGGCCGGTTCAGTTTGTGACGAGCAAAAACTAGAAATAATCCATGATCTCTGCGTTACTGGACTTCTGCCTGCCTTGTCGGACTGCATTTGAACTAATCCTTGTATTGCTGAAACTTTGCCTGCTTTATCGGAATGCTTGCAGTCTAATCTTTGTTTTGTGTGAATAAAGTCTGAATTGGCAGCTAGCCACTGGGTTGCTGCCAGCTTTATCTTCAAAGACTTTGTCGTGTGGCTTATTAACTCCGGGCTGTCTGTGGGGATGCGTGTGTGGGACGGGGACAGAACAACTATAGGCTGATGTTTAGGTTGAAGTCCGTACATCTTAAAATTGCCAATGTTCAGAAACTTTGCTAAGGCACCTCTAGATTTTCTCTGCTAGCCCAACCCACCGTCACCAACCTGCAAAGGACGCCACCGGCTTCTTGCTCTCCTCCTTGGCTTCTGAACTTAATGCTGCCGACAGGCTATCCAAGAAAAAAAGAGTGAAAATTAACCCAAAGATGGACTTGCTATTTTTTTTTTAAAAAAAACTAATAAATAAAGCATAGCTAGTGATAAGTTACATCCAAATACCTGAATACGGCAATTTCTCCATAGTTGTTTCCGGCTGCTAAATATCTGCCACAAGGTGAGACACTTTGAGTGTATATGGTCATGTGCAAGAGCTCAAGAGATCGTTGAATGTCCATCTGGCAAAGAGAAAAAAAATAAAAAATAGAATAGAATAGAATTCTTTATTGGTCAAGTGTGATTGGACACACAAGGAATTTTGTCTTTGGTGCATATGCTGTCAGTGTACATACAAGCAACAAGTGATGAATCATGATCATAATCATAAAAAACATTCATCACAAATCATAAGATACAACACTGAGTGATAGTCATAGGATACTAAATAAGCAATCAACATAAATCATACTAGGATACTAAATAAAACAATAGAAATCTTAAGATACAAGCAACAAAGTTATAGGCATAAGAAGATAAGGAATAGATAACAGAAAAAATGAGAAGGATAATAATAATGCAGCCCTACTAGGTAATTTGACAGTGTTGTGGGAATTAGTTGTTTAACAGAGTGATGGCATGGGGGGAAAATTGTCCTTGTGTCTAGTTGTTTGGGCGTGCAATGCTCTAGTGTCGTCTTGAAGGAAGAAGTTGAAACAGTTTATGTCCAGGGTGTGAGGGAACTGTGTTGATAAAGCAGAAGTCCATTTAGGCTGCATCCAGAGAAGTTCTTTGTGGGTATTTTAAGTAGCAACCAGATTTTTAAGTACAGAATAGTCTTTTTACCCACAACAATAGGAGGTTTAACTCTGACTCTTTTGAGACCAGCACAAACAACTGTTCAGAAAATTTGCCCTGCATTTTCCCTTACCAATTCTCCTTCATTATGACAAAATTCACTTCCCGCATTTATTTCAAAGCATAATTTCAGTGAATATTCATGAGTAGAAGGGATTGTGTTCTTGCACTTGTACAAGTTGGCCACCCCATACTCGTGTGTGTGTGTGTGTGTGTGTGTGTGTGAACTGCCTTTCACCGCAGAGTCATCTTTCCAGCCTTCTACAGCCTAGGATGCTCCCTGAGCCTCAATGAAATCTCAAAGAAATCGTGTCCGACTAAGTTGGGGGCATATACCGGTCTAGTAAATGATTTTTTTAATATAAACAATGCTCTTCTTCAATAGTTAGATGGCCTAGACATTGATATTTGAAAGTAGATCTTTTTGACAGTTATATTTTATTGGGTTCTACTAATCTAGTTGAAATGTTAATTTATATTGCTACTCCATGTATGATATGCCATACTCCAAATAAATAAATAAATCCCAAAGAAAGACATCAATGAGCTTCTCCAGGGTGGAAAGCTTTGGAGGAATCGAAAGAGAGGCAACAATTACAAAAATCAACATTCACTGCACTATCATTCACAATGAAGTAAGCTATTAAAAAAAAAAAACCACCAAAGAAAATCTGTAATAAATTTGCAATTTCCTGACAGGGAGATAAAGTAGAAAAGCAAAAGCCTTCCCCACCAGCCTTGTATATGTAGTCCTCAACTTACGACATTAGCAATATTTGAAGTTACAACCCAACTCAAAAAAGGGAACTTATGATCCAGATCCGAAATTCTGATAATTACCTCCCGGCAATCATATGACTGCACTTTAGACATTCAGCAACATGGCTTAATGTATGGCCATTTTGCAGCGTCCCAAAGTCACATTGCTGTATTTTATGATATTTTGCTGAAAACCAGTAACTTTCAGTTTTCACCACAGCAGCATCCAAACCAATGGTTCACTTAATAACCACCACACAAAACATTATAAAATCAACCATTAAGACTTACGACTACAATGGGCAGGCTCCATTATGGTTGTAACTCGAGGACTACTTGTATATTCAGCAGATCCTCTTGGGATGACTGCAGAAGATAGCCTGGCAGTAGTCTCCACTCTAATATAACGCTACTGGAAACAAACTGGATTCAATACCAGCTGATGTGATCAATAAGCAGCAATTGAGTTTCATTCTGCGGTGATTTCATTTCATTTTATCTGCTTTGTTGCTATGTCTCCTTAATTGCTATTTGTTTCTGATTTTGTTGCAAGGGATATATTTATACCTCACATTTGATTTTTTTATCACAAAAAGGTTGGATATAAATATTCATATGGAATTCTCAAAAAGATCCTGATTAAAATAATTAAGGACATAAATGGGTAAAATAGAAACCACTCTGCAACAAAAAATAAACTGCTTGAAGCAATATTTCTCAACCCTTGACAATTTTATGCGGTGGGGATTTCAACTCCCAGAAGTCTCCAGCTAGCATAATGGCTAGGGAATCCTGGGAGATGAAGTCCACATATCTTAAAATTGCCATAGGGTAGATGAAAAAAGGCGATGTAAAGTATAGTACATGTTAAATTTAGTTACTCCTTTCCAAATTTCATTCCCGGCCCAAATGGTGGGAAACACGCTTTGCATTTTAATCTATTTAATCAATCAGCTTTCACCTATGCTGAACTATAACTCCCATCTATCCCTGCGAGTCTGATAAGTTTGAGATCCATTCATTTCCAAGTTGGGAAAAAGCAGACGGTAGGGGGCGCGAGTCATCAATTCAGCACCTCTATGGTTAAACGAAGATAGAGAAGATCCGAACGTAAAACCCGAAGTATGACGGGATTCCTCGTTTCAGCCTGCTGGTTATTGGGGAACTACACTTCCCACAATCCCTGACATTTAAAACATCACTTCTCGTCACGTGATGATTGTGGCGCGTCTAGTTTTCCCGTCTGGCTGTGGTGCGTTATTGTGGGACCAGCGTGAGAAATAACGGTAAGGACGGTAAGAATCGTATTTCTTCTTAGTCAATCTGCAATGGAATAGAGCATGCGCACATCCTACCGTCCGGTCCGCACTCTAGCCTCTTTCATTCCCCGCCTCCCACCCGGCAGCGTGCGCGTGCACTGACCGTTGCTAGTGGCTCAATTTCTTCTCCACAGCGCGCATGTGCAAAGGACCAACCGGTTATCTTACCCCACCTTCAGAGAAGAGCCACGCCCTTTCCTGTGATGATGGTCACGCCACCTCGGCTAGTGGCGGCTTTATTAGCCCAGCGCAAGGCATGCTGGGATTCGAATTTCTTCATTGCGCGCTATAAGGCGTCGGGAATGTCCTCTAAAATGGCTGCCAAAGGGCGCAAAGCTTGCTGGGAACTTAATTTTTTTTTTTTTTTAATTCCACGATGTACAGGCTGGCCTGTTGTCAGCAAAGCGAAGTCCGGTCAAAGTGAATTTGTCTTATCCTGAAGGGGCCTGGAAGGTTAAGGAAATCCCCTCTGATCCTTGTAATCCTTCATCCCCCGTATAAGAAGTTGTGAGGTGTTTTTCTTTAGCGACATCGATTGTGATCAGAAGCTTAAATTTCCCAGAGCTCTGAAAATCAAGGCGCTTGCTTTGTAAAAAAATAATAATAAAATGCAATGTTTACAGTATTTTACAAAGGAACATTCAAGAGCAAAACCGAGGAAAACTTTGCAAAACCACATATTCCAATAAAAATACTACAAATCAAATAATTTGTATGCCGATGGCTCATTTTTAATTGCCTTTTTGCATATAAATTATTTGATTTGGAGTATTTATTATTAAGAATATGCGATTTTGCAAAGTTTTTCATGGTTTTGGTTCTTGAATTTTCCCTTGTAAAACAAAGTTATAAACATTTTAATTCTTATTAATCTCTTCCTAATTTCCCCATTTTTAAAAAATATTTGTCCTTTATTTTCCCCAAGGGTATATGTTTATTATACAGGTAGTCCTCGATTTACAGCTATTTGTTTAGTGACTGTTCGAAGTTACAATGGCACTGAAAAAAGTGACACCCACTGTTGGTCACATAATCAAAATTCAGCCGCTTGGCAACGGTCATGTATTTATGATGGTTGCAGTGTCCTGGGGTCATGTGATTACCTTTTGTGACATTCTGACAGGTAAAGTCAATGGGGAAACCAGATTCATTTAACAACCATATTACTAACTTAATTGCAGAGATTCACTTAACTGGCAATTGTAAAGTGGGACAAAATTCACATAATTCACTTGTCTTGCTTACCAATGGAAATTGTGGGCTCAATTGTGGTTGTAGTATGCAGCTAAGCATTCTCTATGGTTTCTTGTACTCTGCTACTATTAAAAAAAATGAAATACGTTTTAGCAGAGCTTAGCTCAGCTCAGCTGATAAATGCCTCATGTAGATTTTTGGGACCCAATAAAACAGTTTGCTTTTTTAAAAAATACTTTTTGAAATTCTCAGTCTAGCCAACAGCCTTGGGTTTCCTAGAAATCTTCCATACAAAAGCTACCCAGGTTTATTGATTATTAATATTTTAAAGGCTTTTAAGTATAGATATTATTTATTTTAACTTGGAGGTTGCTGTAGTTTATAATTGTACTGAAAAATATTGAAGGTTGCTTTTCTATATATTTGTTTGATATATTTTTGCCACATTTTAATCGTTCCCTTTTATTTCTTCTCCTATTCCTTTTATGTTAAATTTTTTTGTTTTTTGAAATTTAATAAAGCTACATATAAAAAAATAAAAACAAATGCTACTTAGTTCTGACTAACTCTTCCTTTTCAGAAGTTCTCAAATTCAACATGATACCCATTCAAGACATTTACATCTCTGTTGGAAAATGGATTCTTTTTAACTTTTCTTTTGCTTTAATTCACAGATGAATCCTACAATAAGCCCAGGATCACCATCAGCTGTTTCTTCTGGGCATTTTTTGCACTGCTCTGTGTTGTCAAGGAATATGGGCTGTAGCCACAACATCATCCCAAGCTGGGAACGCGATGTGCCATGCACAATTCCACGGATGAAACCCAGACACAGATTGGTGAATTTCAGGAGTGTAAAAAGGTATCGGTAACCATATGCTGTGAGGCTTTCAGATTAATATAAACAGATTCTGTAGATTTGGGATAGAGGAAAATTCATCCATCTGGCATTTATTCACCCAGTAGGCCATGTGACTACTGCTGAAGCATCTGAAAAGATGTTAATAGAGCATGCTAGAGGCTCTGTTGCTCAACTTCTTTCAAAGCAGGTCTGGGCAATTAGTTTTCCCAAAGGACCACATGAAAAACTGGAAGTCTTGGGGAGGGCTGAACCAGTAAGGCCATACACTTATTTACATTTGATTTCTAATTTCCAATCAACCTCATGCCTGACAGGAACAGCCAAAGGGCCGGATGTGGTCCAGGGGCCCCATAAAATGCCCAGCTCTGCTTCAAACGAAAAATGATGAAGGGGGCTGAGGCAAAGAAGGCAACAATAGGCTATATATCAGCAGTTTTATTTGGATATTTAGTAGTATTTTTGAGTAGCACCCTAATATGCATTACTCTTAGATAAAATCTGTTTACAAATAGTCGATGCCAATTTGGTGGCATATAATCTGCCTTCTTTACAAAAACATTTAAAAAGCACAGCTCAGTTAAACAGTAAAATCATTTATTGAGCAGCACCCGATAGTTAAATCATAAAAGATAACAAAAGCTTGGCCAAGAGTTTTGTCTGCTGCTGAAATAATGAAGTGTGACAATAAACAGGTTGGCAAATATTTCAAAAATTCTGTACCTAAATTGTGAAGGGCTTAGGAGTGGATAACAAAGTAACATAAAATTGATACCAAAGGGAAGGTTTTGAATCTTAGGGTTTTCAAAGGCAGTAAGGTGGGAATCTGCCAGGGAGCATCAGGAATCTTCTTCTGTTTATGAGCTGTGGTGGCGACACAGTTGCTAGAATGCAGTATTGCAGACTAACTCTGCCTACAACCTGGAGTTCAATTCTCACTGTCTCAAAGTTGACTCAGCCTTCCATCCTTTCGAAGTTGGTAAAATGAGGACCCAGATTATTGGGGGCAATATACTGACACTGTAAACTGTTCAGAGTGCTGTAAAGCTTTATGAAGTACCGTATTTTTCAGAGTATAAGATGCACTGGAGTATAAGACGCACCTACCTTTCTTGGTGAGGAAAAGAAGAAAAAGAAATCTCCCTCTGCCTCTGCGCAATTTTGCCTCGTTACCGCAAACAGCCTGCTTTACTTTCATTTTCATCATAGCTTGATTAGCACAAGGGGAAAAAAAATCTGCTCCAGCAATTTACCTCTTTGCAGCAAGCAGCAGAGCCCTGTGCAAAACAGCTGAGAGCAAATCAGCTGAGTGTCGGGAGGCCTATCCAATCAACTTGTGCTAATTAGCCTGTGCTGAAGCTGAAAGAAGCTGTTTTTTCTTTCTGTTTGCTTGCAAGGAGGTCACTGCTGTGAGGCAGAGGCCAAAGGGTGAGGGCCAGTGGGTGAGTGGGGCTACATTCGGTGTATAAGACATACCTAAATTTTCACCCCCTTTTAGGGGGGAAAGGTGCATCTTATACTCCAAAAAATATGGTAGTATACGTCTAAAAGCTATTCATATTTTATTTTAAGGATATGTTAGTGGCACAAAAATAACTAAGAATGATGTCTCGTTTCTTTTTTTAGGTGCCAGTCAGTATCCCTTGCTTTCAAGCGACACCTGGAAAGCAAAGATCAGTTAAGTGTGGAGGAAAATGAGAGCTACAGCTAAGAAAGGCATTGACCAAAAAAAAAAAAAAAATGCCCCAATCCATTTTTGTATTCCATATTTTTGGGTATATAGGTTGCACTTGATGGCTTATTCTGGGAAAATCTAAGTTTTTGTTCAGAGGTGTAGATGTTAAGCCACTGTATGTTTACAAGACTATCTAAGCAATAGCAGTAACCAAGCTCTCAAATAATAAGCTGTAATTAAGCTTGCCCTTTCATGTTGCTTTCTATCACACTGGAACCTTCTCATGCTGTCATGGTGTAGACATTCTTGATAACATAACTAAGTATGGTGCAGCCACATAAATTATTAGAGATGCTGTATAAAGGATCATCTTGTGTTTTGGAGGTCCTCCTGTTTGCAGAAACTTTCCAAAATGTTTCTAATGAAGTGCCACCTCCCCTAAGGGGCATGTTAGTTTAACTATGATGAGCTTGGCACTACTCGATTCTAACTAGGATTTTATTAAGGAGGCTGAATTGTCACTGCTTTCTGTACCTTAACAGGGAACCCAGCTCTAAACATTTTCTGTCAGAGGAGAAGATGGCTGCCCGTTTTAACTCCCTTAGCCTGGACAACGACCACATCTACAGTTCTAACGGTTTCCCTGTTCACAGTGAAAACCCCAGATGGCAGCAGGCATACACACAGTTGAAAGAGTTACAACGGAGGTACCAGAAAGCATGGCAGTTTTGTGCTTTTTAAAAAAGTGGGTTCAGGGATGCAAAATATTATGACTTCCTCACATAAGGCTTTCTCCGTCTCAGGCTATCTCAAGATGGGGCAAGTGAAGAAACCAACTCTACAGAAGAAGAGCTGACCACAGTCATTGTAGACGGTGAATTCATGATGGGAGACTGCCCTATGCTGGTGCCATCTTCCTTCTCGTTAGGACTCGAAGGAAGCAGCATTGCCCCTGAAGAAATGTTTCTTTCTCTGTGAGTATTAACAAAGTACAGGCAGTCCTTGCTTAACGACCAGCCACTTAGTGGCCATTCAAAGTTATGAGAGACACCAGGGGGTGGGAATTGTTAAGTGAGACCATTTTGCTTAATAGCTATCATCACTTGTGACCATAATGAGCAGGCTCCATTACAGTCGTAGGTCAAAGGTTACCTATAGGAAGGAAGGAAGGTGTAACAAGGAAAATGGATGAACAGTTAATCAGCTTCCTCCCTCATTTTCACAGGAATCCTTGTACCGAAGTTGTCCTGTGGAGCCCACACAGTAAGTCCCTCTTGCACACTATCAGGACACTGATAGCTCCCTCATCGGTCCAGCCCCATCTAGAAGCAGTGGCAAACCAAGAGGAAATGGAAATATGAATCAACAACCCCAATTTTACTTCCCTTTGAAATCAAATTCACTTCTCTGTCTGGCTGTGTCTTTCAACAAAAAGCACCTTTATCCAGTCAGTATAAATATTTCACAAAAATATTTTATTCCACCATGGTGGCATTCGTCATTTTCAGCCAGCTGCAATAATCTGATCCTTTCTCTTCCATCCACATAATGTACAGTATATCTGCAACTAAGTCATACACACACATACACACACCTCACTATATTTTCTCTTTCAATAAGCAATCAGCAAATAGTTCCCAGGACATTGTAATATACTTTTAAATGTTAAATGAGCATTCTAACCACTTCTTTTATACTTTATTAGCACTGAAGTCAGATTTTTAATGTCCATCAAAGTTGGAAGAATTGTAAGTTTTTATTCTTGACTTTTTGCTTCCGATAAAGAGAACTCGACACTTTTAGACTGCCAAATGTTATTTGAGAGGAGCTGGCATTATGATGAACTCTTCCTATTGGTACCTAGAGAGTGGGTGTAACAGGGAAATAAAAGAAGCAGAATTGTTTTTATATCTAAATGTCTTTATTGAATAGTGGTATATCCTTAACAAATCTGATGCCATTAGCAGTGAGTTAAAATGAGATGTTTTAGTTATCTACAGGGTGTATATAAAATAATTAATGAAGCAAATAAATTGCACAGAGGGTCCCAATGTTGAAAGGGGACAGAGTTTCTGTCTGTAATACCTCAAAGTTGGGAATCATAATTGGCAACTTATCAACTGAATCCGGACATCATTTCATATTCCTATATTAAAGTTTATTCTTATTTTATTCCTCAGTTTCTGGAGGTAAACCGGAATGACAGAATGGTACCCCAATTATAGCTGCAAAGGTTATGAAGTCCTTTTTCAAACTCAAGACGTGGACAGTTGGCTATTTTCTCCCAACATCTGGATTGAAGGACAGGGCTAATGAAGAGATAGAAAACTCTCCAAATTCTAAGAAAAGAGCAATGCAGCTTGGTCCTAAACCATTCCTACCTAGGGTAATCAGAGCAAGCCTAAAGAGAGATGAGAAGGAAAACTCCCAATACTATCGGCTGGGAAATTCTGACACATTTACTTGTGTTTCTTCCATTTCCTTCTATTATTATTTAAACTGAGGCACAGCTCCAGAGCATGAAAGAGCTTGCTCCAAAATAATCTAATGCCCACCTTCTCCCTCATCCTGCAGCCTTCTTACTGTGACTTAAATTTGAACACTGGTTGTATTCTAGCTATCAGACCACAAGTGAAGAAATAAAATACAATGAGTAAGCAAAGTTGTAGAGAAAGGCTTTTTTTCAGTTATGGGGAGAAGAACAATTTCCTTGGGCTCAGCTATGCCCCACATCCTCTTTATTTTATTCACCTTAATTATCTGTTTCAGTAGTCTTTTTTTTTAAAATGCTGCTTGGTACTTCCCACCCACCCCCCTTTCTGTAAGCACAACCTACAACTCCCACCCACCCCCAACCTATCAGCAGGCAGGGAACGCAATGCTTCAATTTGTGTTTCTATCCCCACAACTCAAATTTTCCCAGCGAAGGAGAACAGGAAAATTCTAGGGCTAGGAGGATTCATACTGGTTCTCCTGCCCTTCTGACCAAGATCCAGAAGCCTTCTCCCCAACATCATATGAGCTATGATTTTCACCCACACAATTCCCCACAGTTCATACACCCTCCTCCAGAAGGAAGAGGCATCTATAGGGGCTGCCCCTTCAGCAGCATTTCTTGACCGAAGGCTTCTTTTTGGGCTTGTTGATTTTGACAACCTCGTTCTGCTGTTGCCGCCGTGCCAGGTTTTCCTGTTTCGTTCGGAGCACCATGGTGGTGATGGCATTGAACATCTATGGATGAAACGTACAAGGGGAAGGGAACTGAACAACCTTCTTACCAGGTTTTTTTTTCCCCAGCCCAAAGCTCCATCCATCCATCCCCTCTTGAAGCACTGAAGGCCTCTGTTTCCCTTCCCACCTTTGCCCTCCTAACCACCTCTTCCAATACCTCTTCAACATTGAGGTTCTCCTTAGCACTGGTCTCAAAAAGCCGCACTCCCATTTGCTCACTGAACCGCCGGGCATCAGCGGTCTCTACTTGTTTCCGTGACAGGTCCTCACATTTATTACCCACTGGTTTGAGGGGATTGGAGAAGAGGAAAATTAGAGCAAGGAAAACAATCCAAATCCTTTCATACTGTATATTATATGATACATTCTGCACAAGTAGATAATTCGGGCACACTGTCTTCATTTTGAACTGAACACATCTTAAGACTAATTAGACAATCGTGAAGTTAAATTCCTCCCCCTAATCTTGTGCAGCTCAACCTGGCTCCTTTTAATTGACTTCTGAGGGGGGGCGGTTGGTTTTCTTTTTGTATGTGGGTAAAAGGATTTCATCACAAAGACATACTTCAGTAGCACAGCATATGTTGTCCAAATAGATGCCCCAATGTTGATGTCTCCCATTTTAAAGGTCACAGGTAAACAGATAATGTCAAACAATACGTTCTCTGTCTTACACTTTGGAGGAAAGACACTAAAGAGGATAATTCTGCTTAAGATGGAAGAGTGACTCATTAAGAAATCTGCCTTCTCACTCACTAGAGTGGCTGTGGTAACAAGCCATTCATAGTTTCATCAAATGATCTACAAACACTGAGTTTTGGTTTGGCTCACCAGAGAACAATACAGCAAACAAAGCAAGAATTAATCCCAGCTAAGGTCTCTCCTTTTTTGCAGCAGGCAAAGCCAAAGTTCCATATTTACTTGGTTTTCTAATCCACAACAGATGATCCATTAGTTCTTTATCTCTTGGATAAAGCCAAGCAGCTCGATGCAATTTAAAAAAAACCCCTAGCTTTAATTTTGTTGAGATTGATTTTCTATAAGCAATATATTCATCTTTGTTACAGTTGAGTTTTTAGGGAATGGCGAGATAAAAATACAATGAATTCCTATCACTTTCCTTCTCTAGGAATCCCAATCATTGTGTTTAGTTCTATGTCAATGTCTCAGCTGAATTTTTATTTTACCCTTTTATAAACCCGCTGAGAGATTTCCATAGTTGGCAGCATATAAGGTTAGATAAAGAAAGAATTGTCCCGCAGTCAGTAAGCCACAATGCTTTTTTGTCATAAGCCATCACTCATATCAAAGTGAAAGGCATGTGACAAATGTTCAGTTGATTAGTTTCGGCCAAGCATTAGCTAGTGGATCTCTAGATCTAGCAGTTTATCTTCAATCCTCAGACCCACTATGATATCACTCTGCAAAGTATCTCAGTATATTATTCTTCCTATCGCTACAAACAATACACAGAGCCTACAGAAGCCCTAACTAGCATGGTTGTTGAGGACTGTGGGAGTTGTAATTCCAACATAAAGTAGCTGGAACATTCCCCGTTGAGGAAGGACGTACAAAGCCATGGTAGAATACTTTTCCCCAAACAAAATCTTGTTCAAATGGCCCAAATCAGCACTTCATAATCTGAAATGCAAGGAGGATGGAAGCACAATAGCACCTGCCTGTTCCTAGATGCAACCCTAGCAGCTCAAATAATTTCCTCACATTCAATGCTACTATTCCAATAAATAAATAAAGACTCGTATCAGGTTTCCCCAGCCAACCTTCAAGGAGATATCTCTGGAGTTATGTTTGTTTCTAGAGCAACCAAGAAGAATTAAGCAATTGTAAACATGTGAATAGGCTGATACCTCAATGCATCTGAATATACTTTTCTAGGCTGGATATTCCTGTAATAAGAAAAATATCTCACTCCCCGAGAAACAAGCAGGACATCATGAAGTATACACAATCCACTTTCTCTTTTTCCGGTACGAATAAGAACTATTGAAAAAATCTCTTGTATTTCTATTACCCTGATCAGGTTCCAATCTAATGTGATAGAATCACAAAGACTCACAACCTTGGCCAATGGCCACTGAACTGAAAGATGAGGGGAAGACAAGTTGGTAACAAAACCACTCACCCAAAATCTTGCACACATTGTCACAGTTTTGCCCAATCTCATGCAGCCAACGTTTGACATTAACAAAGGACTCGGCATTCGTCACATCGTAAACAATGATGACACCATGAGTATTGCGGTAGTACCTGCACCCAAACAAAATGAAATGACTTGTTTTGAACAGAGAAAATTCAATAATTCCCTTTTTTCCTTCCCTTCAGCAATAGGTTTCAAAGCAGTTCTGTAGCCCCACTAATACTTAGATTTAGATTAGTGATTAGCCCTGAGGTGTCCATTAAACCTCAGGAGGGAAGACACCCTTCAACATTAAAATACTGTAATAAAAAAAATTAAAATGGCTAGAATCCCACAACATTGTCCAAGCATAGGTAGTCCTCAACTTGCAACACTTCATTTAGTGATCGTTCTAAATTACAACAGCACTGAAAAAAGTGATTTATGACCATTGCAGGATCCCCATCGTCACATGATCACAATTCGAACACCTGACAACTGACTCATATTTATGACATTGCAGAGTCCCAGGGTCATGTGATCACCTTTTGCGATCTTTTGACAAGCAAAATCATTGAGGAAGCCAGATTCACTTAACAGCCATGTTACTAATTTACTTAACTCTGTCAAGAAAAGTTATAAAATGGGGCAAAACTCATTTAACGAATTTCTCACTTAGCAACATAAATTTTGGGCTCAATTGTAGTTGTAAATTGAGGAGAAACTGCATTTATTTTATCCTGCAAAATTGTAAATGTGAAAAGATTGCATACTGCTGACTAGCTAATTAATACCCAGGCTCTCTCCCTGGCCCTTTCATACATCTTTCATCAATTTATCCCCATTCTTCAGTATTCAGAATACTCCTTGTGCCCTGGACTTACGTGGAGGTAATAGTTCTGAACCGTTCCTGTCCAGCCGTATCCCAGATTTGCAGCTTCACTCTTTCTCCATTAATCACTAGTGTCCGGATTTTGAAATCTACCCCAATTGTTGTGATATAGCTACCTGGAGAGACACAGGGAAGAAAGAAGAAAGAATTAAAGGAATCAGAAAACCGTATAAAAATGCCTTTTTACTGCGCAAACTGAGAAATATTAAATCTAAATGTTATGATGCATTATTGCAAAAGAGAAGTGTGATTCAATATTATTGTTATTAAGAGAAAAAGAACAATAGCTGGGATTGTTAAGGGTCAGAAATTTCATTGCGGTACTTGAAGGACCAAAGACAGGTGGTCCTCGATTTATGACCACAATTGGGATCTGAACTTCTGTTGCTAAGCAAGGTGATTGTTAAGAGTGTATCACCTCTTTTGTCATGGTTAAGGGAATCAGTGCAGTTGTTAAGTGAATCATACAGTCATTAGACAAACCCATCTTCCCCCCATTGACTTTGCTTGTTCACATGACCCTGGGATGCTGCAAATATTGTAAATAAATGTCACTGATTGACAAGTACCCGAATTTTGATCATGTGACCATTAGGATGTTGTGACAGTTATAAGCATGAGGACTAGTTGTAAACTATTTTTTTCAGTGGAATGGTCAGTAACTGAATGGTCGTAAGTTCGGGAGCCAATGAATAAATCAATAGGAAAAAAGGGATGTAATATTCTTAGATTTTGTAGGATTTTAATATCAGTTACAGGCACAACCTATTTGTAACAGGAAAAATACAGGAACTTTGCTCAAAATAGATGCTACAAGAATCAATACAGCCTACATTTTTGGCAGATTTTTTTCCTGGTCATTTAATCAATGGTTTGGCCAACTGGCAAATTATGATCTGACTGCATTCTGAAAACAAGCCAAATAAAATGGAAAGAAGTAACTCAACCAGGGCAGGAGGGAGGGAAAAAAGAAAAGGAATTTATTTTGAAAAGAAGTCATGTTGCAATACTTTGCAAAAACATACCAGCAAGGATTCAATTACAGCATTGCTAGCAGAGAAACACAATAAGCACACAAACACATTTAATTAGAGCAGACAGGACCATTTACCTCTATTATAGCAAAACTGAATAAAAGAATGCTGGGTAAATTAAATCCCCAATCCATAATTGGGCAATATCATTATTATGACCAATTAAATTGCCACAAAAAAGGGAGCGAGATTCCACATTCTTTGGACAGACTTGAGAAAAATCTCTGGGAAATTCACACGCTTGATTGTGGAATTTTTGTTCCTCCCAATTGCCCAATTGAGCATTGTGATTTTTTTGCATTTCATGGATCAGCACAGCTATCTGTTTTGTTTTGTTTTACAATTTTGCAACTGCTTTTAAAAATGAG